TAGAATTTTTCTTCTAATTTTAAAAATAATGAAGAATTTTCTTTCTAATTTTAAAAGTAATGAAGAATTTTCCTTCTAATTTTAAAAATAATAAATAATTTTCTTTGAAATTTTAAAAATAATGAAGAATCTTCCTTCTAATTTTAAAATTAATGAAGAATTTTACTTCTAATTTTAAAAATAATGAATAATTTTCTTTGCAATTTTAAAAATAATGAAAAATTTTCTATCTAATTTTAAAAATAATGAAGAATTATCCTTTTAATTTTAAAAATGATGAAGAACTTTCTTTATAATTTTAAAAATAAAGAAGAATTTTATTTCAAAAATAATGAAGAACTTTCCTTCTAATTTAAAAAATGAAGAAGAATTTTCTTTCTAATTTGAAAAATAATGAAGAACTTTCCTTCTAATTTTAAAAATGATGAAGACTTTTTCTTCTAATTTGAAAAATAATAAAGAATTTTCCTTCTAATTTAAAAAATAATGAAGAATTTTCCTTCTAATTTAAAAAATAATGAAGAATTTTGCTTATAATTTTTAAAAATATTGAAGCACTTCTATTCTAATTTTAAAAATCTTGAAGAATTTTTATTCTATTTTTAAAATTAATGAAGAATTTTTATTCCAATTTTAAAAATTATGAAGAATTTTCCTTCTATGTTGACAAATACTAACACGTGACACTAGTACAGATTTGACACGTGACACTGACATTAACTTGACATGTGACATTAACATTGTCATATGATCCAATATTGACTTGACATGTGGATAACTTTTTTAAAATTAAGAAAAAATTTGAAATAATTAATATAAAATTAAAAAACTACGAAATAACATGTGACACATATTGTTCATCTTTTGTTGATAATTTAGATGACATCATGTAAAAAGACCAAATTGAACATAATTTACTAAAAAAGGAACCACATTGAACATTAAAAAAAATTGAGTCCCACATTCAACATAGTTGGTGAAAATAGAGACCAAAATTTAAACCTTATTATTACTTTGTACTAGTACAAAAAATTGTCTTTTGCAATTGTTTGATCATGTTGAATTGTTTACAAATCTTACGCTACATGTTGAGACAAAATCGTTTAACATCTTTAAGTTTTGAAGTTTAACTTAAAAGAGAAAATGAAATATCATCTTAGAAAAAAAAACCCTTTAAGCTAAACCAGAAAGGTGAACATGTCTCATCAATAAGACTACACAAGATCACTAAGGAACCCTGTGGACAACAAAAGTCTAAATGTTAGGTGACAAAAGATCTATCATTTAAGAAAACACCATAGTGTCTTCCAAAGCGTCTAACCAAATGAGCAAAGAGGAGCTCAAAAGTCTCATACTTAGAAGTGCCTAAAGCCAATCCAAAAGTTGTTTCTCCATACTACAACGATTGATAAAAATATTGTTAAAAAATGATAGATACTAGATGTTAAGTTAAAATTGTTTATATGCTTAAACGCTCTTATGTTTTGAAGTTTAACTAAATAACATTAAATGAAATAATAATATGAAAAGAACATAGGATGAAAACACAAGACTTAGAACCAAAATCCCCAACACAGAAAACCTTAAGAAAACACCTAGGATTTTAGGAAACAGAGAAACAACCAAGACAAAAAGCCCAAACATAATGCTAAAACAATTATCAAGTCAAAAGTGTCTAAGAGAGTTGAAGCTAAATGCATACAACTTATCATACCTAAAAGATATTCAATTTTGCTTTGAAAACAAAACATGTCAAGACGATGTCATTAACAAAACAAACTAAAAAACTAAAACATAAAGCATTAAGAGAAAACTTAAAGTAAGCTAAATGTTGTGTGTCTGAAAAGACAAAATCACAATAAACGTTTACTCTATCTAAATGATACCATGAGCCAAAACATTACTTCATCGGTCTTTAACCAACACGTATCTATAAAAGAAAAGCTTAATTGTTAAACGTACCTTAATGGTAAGAAATCAAAAAGCATTTTGTTGTTCTGAGCAAGCATTAAATGACATTAAATACTCAACATTCAAAAGCAACAAAAGTATCAAGAAAAGACATCTATTGTATGCACAGCACAATCTACTATATTCTTTGCATATGAGCTATTCTACACGCATCCACAAACTTCAAATCAAAATATCAAAAATGGACGTTAGAAAAAAAAAGATATTCACATAATGTTCTTCACTTGAAGTCATGTCTAAAAGAACGTATAACCTACTTTAAGCAAAGTACTGAAAAAATATATTTATTATGACAATAAACTTTATCCAATTCAAACCAAAAAAATGACATCCAAAAAATTCAAAAATTCCATGCAAGAAAATTGTTATTATTGTCACCGAAGGAAAGAATGAAAATAAAAAAAAAAAAGATAAATCACAAGAAAAAAAGAAGATAAAAATATTAATTAAACAATTTTATGTTAAACCTCTACCATTCCGATAAAAATAAGTTTCAATTATTTACAAAATTGTCGTTGTTATTTTTGTAGTCATCTTTATTTGGATTCATAGTAAATCGAGTAACATGAAAGAGTAATCCATAAGTGAATAAATAATAAATCTAGCTAATTAATCAAATATGAAATTTGTAAAACATTAATCAATAGTTTTAGAAAGAAAAAACTAAAACCATCAATAAAAGAAGGATATAATATATATATATATATATATATATATATATATATCAACAAATAATTATTTTTATTTTCCTTGCACAAATATTTGAAAACAGAACAAAATGATAACAGGGAGTCATTTTTGTAATTAAAAGTAAATTCAAAGAATGAATACAGAACATTTTATGAAACTAAATCCCTAATTTTCTCAATTACGACAAGCTCTAAATTATGTTATCTGCAACAATAGTTACTGCAAAAGCAAATCTAAGCTGAAGAATATGTAGGCAAACACAAGATACCCTTCCAACTACAGAAAAGGGAGGCACAGTGACAGAATTCAGATGCATGCAGATTCTTCACTCACAAAAATGATTATGAAAAAACTAAAATGAGGAAAAGATTACACCCGAAGATACATACTCGTCTCCTATTTTCCTTTTCTCAATTTGAGATATATCATAATAGCGTAATGCTGCTTCCAAAAACTTCCTCTTCAGATCTAAGATCCTTGCATAGCAAACCTGAAAACAAATAGGAAAAAGATGGAAAAACAGGTAAGGCTACGCTCAAGCATCCTACTTTTTGGCCCAGTTACACCTACGCAGTTATCATTTTCAAACCTTGTACTTTAAATTGAGTACTTCATGCTGACTACTGCTGACCAAGAATGATGCTTTATTAATAAAAGCCTCAGCATTGACAGCATCGTCGTCCTGCAAAACAAAATTTGTTTCAAAATAAATTATGACTCTAGTCTGACATTCATAGCAAGTATACCAGTCATATTTTTAAATAGGGAACAGATGTCCCCATACTTACAAAATTAAAATTATTCCTTATGTACGTGCTTAAGAGTATGAGGAACGTGAATGTTCCAGTTATAAAAACATTGTCCTCTTGAATATGAAGATGTTGAACAAGAATAGGTAGGACATGCTTTGAGACTCTAAA